ATCCATCAAAATTTGGGCTCCTCTGTGCAGCTGACTTGGACACTACTGGCAAACAGTGCTGCAAATATAGAAGCATGGAAACATTCTGCCCATGCTGATCCTTAGATTTGTTGATGAAGACCCAGAGAACACTGTTCTCATCCAAACTCCTTCTGCCTTTTTTGTATCTCAGCCCCCAGAAGGATTCATTTATTCTTCCCCAGATGTTTATTTCATTCCCTTTAGTATCTCTTGCACAGGAGATACAGCCATGCCTTAATATTCCACATACAAATCCATACATATGTGCATGAATAAAAGGATCATACTACCTAAGACTGATGAGCAGCTTGCTCAGAGGCAGAACTATGCAGTTTTTAAAGGGCAAAATACAAAACTTCTTCTCTTCTATCACTTACATCATTTTTATGCTTTCAAAGCACTTCTCAAATATTAATTAGCTCTAAATAAATTCTAATTATTTCTAAGAGTGGCCCTAGCAGATCTGCATCATCTGGTGTGAAATCTGACTTCAGTGAAGTCAACAGCAACAGCTCCTCAGACCTCAGCAGAGCTGACATTTCCCGTGCCATTGCTAAAATCCTGAGAGTTGTGTCTATTATCTGGTAAGTACCACAAGTAGGGCTGAACTAGCAGCAGTAACAAGTGATAAGGTTATGGAATGAGAAGCAAAGAAGGGGTAAATGACCTGAGCCAATCTGTGGAGCCCAAATAGGAGAGAAGCTCTGGGAAATGCAGCAATCAGACTCTGTTTGATTTCAGCATCCGCTGAAATGGAAGGTGCTCTCCTGCTGCTAAAACCAGTTTGAATAGTTGGGCTACTGGGGTCAACTCCTCAAATTGGCTCATGCTGCCTGTCACTAACTTAGTTAACAACTAACCTTGAAACATCTGCCCTTTATAAAAAGATTTGCATTATATATCTATATAAATATTAAGTACTATGTGTATAATAAAATACATATAAAGAGGTTTGCATGAAAAATCAAAACATTTAAATTTCAACTAGCGCACATTGCATGAATAACCAAGTACAGGGCAAATGAGTACGTAATCAGTATTTACCTTGCTAATTGGCTATATATATAGCCTATCACATACTGCCAACAAAAAGTACTTTGGTTGTAAATAATAATAATAATAATATTAAATATTTTATACATGCAATTATATCTAGGTATGGAGGTTAAAAACTAACTGGAACCACAGATTATGAATCTTTTTCTCAAATAAAAATTTAATTCTAATAGAAGTTCCTCCCTTCATCTCTGCCAGCTTTACCACCACACAATATGCCATAGAGAAAAAAGGGGAAGTGTCAACTTGTGTAAATTGTCCCTTATGTAATGCAAACCATCTGTTTAAAAAAACAAAACAAAATGAAAACCCCAGCCACTCCTAAGCATGATCTGCTATGGAGAAAAAGAAAGAAAAGGAAATGTAGTACATCAAATTGGAAGCCAAAGACCATGACCTGCCATGTAACCATGGAGAAAATATTTACCCCTCTCCTCCCTTTATTTACCCAATTTTGAAAAATATTTGGAAAAGCATAACTTAATCATTTGCTCTGCACATCATAGAGACTGATAGTGCTGGATTTTTTTTAGCATTTCATATCTCTAGAATGTTTTCCATCAGGCTGGAACCAAGCAGAGAGAACCTCTTTGTTTTCCGTAAGACAGTGATGTCACCACTGGGTTAGAAGGTCCCTAAGTCCTCAGTCACTGCAACCTGGCAAAGGATGGGGGATGAAGTAGCAGTACAATTCTGCCCTGTTCTTCCTTAGGTATCTGCCATGGAAGGAGTCTAAATGGATCACTGCTATTAACTGTTACAATTATTTTTGTGTTCTCTTCAGTCTAAATGCTCAGAAAACAAAGCAAGTGTAGAGAAAGCAGTGCTCTTCTTTTCCAGCCTCTGTCTGGTGAGTCATGAGTCCTTTGGTAAGTACTGCCTCAGGAACCATCCTACTTACACACTCTGAAACCATTGGGGGACTCACATTTCACCCTCTCTTGGGAGGTACAGGTAGATCAGAAAGCACTGAATAAGTTAAATTAGGCTTTGTTATCTAAGCTGAATGAAAATAAATCAGCAGTACAGCGATTCATTATTTCTTCTCCTCTTTTCCACACCCTAAGCCTTGATCACACATTCTAGCTGGGATGGCTGAAGAGGCCAACAGCTCCAACCACAGCCTACTGCAAAGGTTACCACTGTGACCAGGCTGCTTCTTTAATCCCTTCCCAACATGTTTTCATGAAAAAGAACCATCTCAGTTTAAGCAACTTTAACAGAGAGTCCTTGCTGACCCAGCCTGGACAGGAGCAAGTTTTAGAATGCTTAACCAGGAAGCTTGGCCCATATGTCTCCTTCTGGAGACCTGACTACTCACAGGGCAAGGTGCAGAGCAGCAGAAATGTCCCTTTGAATGTGTCTCCAACAGATACTCAAAGTCAAGGAGCTCTGCATCACTAGTTAGTTATGAAAATATTGGTTGTTGCAATAATTCTCTCTTCCTTCTCCCCCAAATTTTCAAATCTCATTCTTTTTTGAGGAACAGTATACGAAAACTTTCATAGTTTTTTGTTCTTTGTGAATGAAACTGAGTAGTCACATGGAGTTTTTTATCATTGCTATCTGCAGGTTGTTAATACTAATAAATAGCAGAATAATCACTAGAGATTTTCCACCAATCTGACACAGAAAACAATTCTGAAACATGTAATCAGTCCAGAAAGAAGGGCAGGTTTTCCAAAAAGACTGGGAAGATGTAGAAGTGAGATTCCATTTTTATCAGGCACATAAACTAATTTTAAAACATAGAATGTCAATCATGTACAGATGATACTGGTGGGATCTTCAGAAGTTCCTAGCAAGGCTTTGCTCCCAAAAGCAAACTCAGTGAAAATCAGGCATTTAACACATCCAGCAGCTGAGCAAATAATTTGCTGTACATTCTCTGCTGCAGTACAATGCTGTACTAAAACCCACTTCAGCTCAGTTCAAGCCAACACAGATGACTGCACTGAAGTTTGCAGTACAGGAATTTGGTAAATGCCCCCAAGACTTAGATCCTAGTGTCTTTGTCACTCTTAAGAGGAAGGTTTAGTCTCTTAATCACACAGGTGCTTAACAAAATTTTATCCAAAGTTCTCTGGGTTATAGACTTTGCCAAGTGGACTGATACACAGTAGGGCAAGCAAAAAAAAAGGAGAAATATGTTTTAGTGGTCTGTCACAAACATGACTTGACGTGAACAGATTGTGGTTAGAAGGCAGCTAGGTGAAGTTTTCCAGGTGTAGCTAAATGTGTATGTGAGTTTTTGTTTACTCTAGATGGTGAATGAAAGGAAGAAACCCTTTGGACCACTGATCATTTCTCCTCAGCTTTTCAGCCAAACTCAGCCAAACCTGCCAGGCAACCACCAAACACAGAGCTGTCTTTTTCCACTGGCTCCTGCTCAGTCCTACGTCTCGGCACACTGTTAATTCCAAGCCTTACTGCCAGAAGCAGCAGAAACTTTACTCTTTTTGCCTTTCAATTTTCAGGGTTACACAAACACATAATGTCATATCTATTTAATAGATGTGAGGAACTACAGAACTATTGTGGAGTTAATGTGCACACAGTACAAAGAAGGGAAAAAAACACCTCAACTCCTTCTACCGAAACTGGCCTTCACTACAATAATATAATCTGCCAGATATGTCTAATGGTGTGCTCTGCTGACCTTTTCCAGACCCACAGTTATGATGGCATTTGTACTCAGTGTGGCTCACAGCTACACGTTTTGTAATGTGAATCACTACTTCTCCCAGCTGAGAGAGACTCAGTGTGTGAAATCACTGGAAGAATTGAACAAGACTATGTCCTGGCACTGCAGCTGCTGAGGAATGTGAAGTGTTTGGAACAGTATTTGCAATAGTGGTCCCAGTCTGTAAAATACCAGGAAAAGGTGTTAGTGGCCAAAGAAACTTAGTGCTCAAGTACTGTGTCTGTGATGTTCAGAAGCTGAAAGAAATCTGAAATTGTGGGCTAAGCCAGTTTAACTAAAGAAATCGTTTTATGTTCTAAGTTTACAAAAATGCAGCAGTGGCAAGTGCTCAGTAACTCAGATGAACTGATGAATTAATAAGTTAGTCAAGGATACAGATGGATACAGTGACATGGACATAACAAACACCCTTACTAGAGACAGAGAAGGGTAGAACAAGCAAGTCCTGGCTAACTCAGTAGAAAACTGATGGCAAAAGCATTCTACAAGTGCAGGAACACAAGTCTATGAAGTTCAGGCTCTAGCTAAGATTATTCACAGAAATAAAGTTCCTTCATTATTTCTTAACTTGTACTTATTCTCATCATGTTGACAGGAAGATGAAATCCTATAGAAGGCATAAATAAAATACAGAAAAAATCTGCAGAATGTAGAGAACAATACAAATCTTTCAAAGATTAAAAAAGTAGATGCTATATTTTTAAGTGTTAGGCTCTCACAAATATCCTCAGAGTTTGTGTTAGCCCATCAAACTGAAAGGCATATGCTATCTTTGAGCTCTGTGCAGAACCTCTGTTGAGACTAATGTGAGCTCTGTGTGAAGAAAGAGACTAGAATAGGCCCTCAGTTCACAAACAGCAAGCAGTCTGCTTCAGGAAAAAACATGTTTTCTTACAACATGTTGAAATTTATTGGGAAGTTTCAAATAGCTTCTCTTCAGATGCAAGTTTGTGGTCATGAGCACGTTCACTTGTCAGAAAGACCTGCCAGAGAAGGTGCACAAATCCACCTCTTGTGTCAGATGTTTGGCTGTTATGTAGAAACACATGCTTCATCTCTGACAAGCTTTTCTCATACTGTAACAACTAATCCCCTGTTTCACACTCATCTCTGCAAGTTAATGGCTTTGTCCATCAATAAGGTGTTACTTTTATACAGACTGGCATGAAACTGTGCCCTAGAATACCCACTTCGAGCTAAAAAAATCTCCAGGACTTACTGCATCCCGCCTTGTAGCTGAAGCCAGGAGGAAGGAGGAATCCTTGCTGTGCAGCTGCTGCTAGGGTTCGCTGGTCTGGAGGGAATACGGGAATCATTAATGGAGGCAGCTGACCCTGGACCTGCTGAACAGGAGAGGGAAAATCAAACACAGAATTTTTTGGGGGCGACAATGTCTGGCAATATGCTTTCTTTCACTTCTCATTGGAGAGGTCTGGTCTGAATACACCTCTTCATTTTGGGGTGTTCCAGCTGCATCAACTGTTGAACTTCATTAGCAAACACTTCATATGAATTACATGAATCCAAAATAAACTGAAATATTTCACTAAAGCACATCTATATCTCACTTAATTATTCCCCCCACTGTCTTATCTCTCTGGCTGTAGGGGGGTACTTTCTTCTCTTTTATTGAACTTTGTGGCAGTATCTGTTTCAGACAGTAGCTTTCACCCTGACTAAGCCCAAACACAAAGAGACGACCCTCAGAAAGGAAAAATAAGTGCATAAGTAGCACACTGCACAGCTAATACTATTTTTCTGCTCATACACTTGCACTTATTTGTACGTATGGAAAGATAAAGTCTCTAGGATGGCCAGAAAAAAGGCTGAGACCCTTATTCACAAATAAAACAGCTATGTCTGAAGTGCTAGGCATTCAACTGTTCACAGCAACTCTACACAACCATGCAAGTCAGGAAGTGGAAAATATTATATTGTAAGTGGATACTGCAGGGGACTAAAGCCATGCAGGAATTAGTCATCAAAGCTGGAAGTGGGCCATGGCACAACGTCTACAGCTTTTGCTTTTACCCAGTTACGTTAATAGCTTTTATAATTGATAGAAATGGAAGCTGTCTCTGTATTTCACACAGATGAGAAACGCAAAGTTTGCTGGATTAAAATGCTGAATGACTAGTTTCAATTTAAAACCCCCACTGTACTGACCAGATCGTTCAGTGAAGAAGGACTGGCTCAGTTTTTAAGAGAGCTCATCTAGATTTTAGTGGCGCTGTAAAGCTGAGACATCGGAGATGGATATATCTTTGAAAACTACAATTTATTTAGTGGCCTTAAGTTATTCAGAAAATCAGAGTATCAACAGACAATCTTCTATGCTGAGGGATGCAAGAAGGTGCTACTCCCTACATTGCTGCCTGACAGCAGAACTGGCAAAAGAGAACCTGCACCAGCCCTTGGCTGCCACTGTTCAGAATACACCATTTGCACTTAATTCTATTTTCATTTAATCTCCTTAAAATCCAGGCCACGTCTTGGTTCACCCAACACCGTTACCAGGCAAAACAGTGATACAAAATTTGGGATTACCATCCCTTTCAATTTATGCCTGGAGCTGGCAACATCAATGTGTGTGCTGACTGTGTCTGTATAGTCTGAAACAATTTTCAGGGATAGAGTTCAAGAGCACTGTTGACAGAAATTCTTGCAGTGGGAGATTAAGACTGGGGCTGAAAGACAGAGTAGATGTAGCTCCACTCACTGAACCAGCTTGATCCATTTTTTTTTACTTCAATATTTGTCTTTCTATTCTGATCCTGCTGATTAGAAGGCATACATATTTTCAACTGAATTATGGGAGAAAAAAACATATAAAATGTGATTTGTTCTTTATCTGCACACAGTTATCCTAGAGCTGTCCAATACCTGCCTTTTATTCACATGCTTATTTTCCATTCATTTTGTTTGAGGTTTTGTGGTTTACTTTTTTTTTTTTTTTAAGACAAAGTAACTATATTCTTTTAGAACAAAAATGAACAGCCATGGGGAATTTTTGCATAGTACTCTTCTTCGGCAAAAAGCCACAGAACTTTTTTTTTAAATGGTTTCCAAGGATGAAAGTGACTTTGCCAAGCGAAGAAGCTTCAAAACAGGACTCAAAAACACTAATAGAAAGACAGATGGTTCTACTAAGTGCTTTGCTGCCAAAAAAAATGTTTAAAAAAAGTGAAAAAAATGGAGTGATGCTATTGAAGCTGACTGCACAGTTCTCTGATGACTGCAAATACTCTTGTCCCACTGCAAGTGTTAACTCTGCCTCCAGGGCTAATATAACTAAAGCACCACACACACATAAATTGTCATTGCCAAGCCCACAGTGTAGCTCAAGTCTGCACTTGATTCCAAGTGACTGCCAAACACATGAGCAAAACACCACACTGAAAAATTCCCATTTAGGAAAACATTTACCAGGAAAATGCCCTTTCTTCCTAAATCTGATTGCTGCATTTAATTTTTTTTTTTTTCAAATTGCTGCTCCTCTTTAACTCTCCAAGGGGCCTTATAGCCCCTAATTTCAAATGACACAACCCTATTTGCATTAGGGAGGTAAAAACTATGGAGTGATGAGGATGGTTTGCATGGATATAGAAATAACACAGTCAAAACAATGTGATTTTCATTCCAGGATGGAATGTATGTAACAGCACTCAGCTACACTTCATTTTCTCCTAAACACAAATAAATGCAAACATTAGTTTATTTTAATCCGATTACCTGACACAATGTCATACAAATTATGGACTCTTCATTTTTATGGCTCATTTAACTACTACATTTTAACTCATTATGTTTATTATCATTATTAACTAGAATTGCTAGGATACAACTGCCTCAAGTGGCATTGAATACAGCCTCTCCTCCTGAGTTTTACATCTAAGGTGTTTCCTTTTTTTGTTTTTTTCCTTTTCAAGGTATTACTACATTAGTTAAATCTCTCATATGTTTTTATTATATAGCTTGCACACCTTCCAATATTTTCTGGATTGTAACTTCTTCATACTGCATTTATAATTTGAATATAATGGACTGCAAATCAGGGCTATTTTCCAGGCCCTTCAATTTGTTCTGCTAATGGACATATGTCCATAAAAAGAAACACCTCTTCAACAATCTAGTAATTCACACAGCTGTCAAGATTCTCCACTGGCCAGCCTTTCTACATGATGACCTCTTCTCAGTTGTAATATCCTAAAGGAGAAAACTGTATTATAAATCCTCACAAACTTCCCAATGGGTTTAAAGAGCTACAATTTCACCTTGTAACTTCTTATCTACTTTATGATGTGAGTCTGGAGGATACAGACACAATCTTCCAAGTCCTGGTTTTTCATACTGTTGCCACTGTCAACTGATCACACTGTGACCCTTCATTAATTTTTTCCTCTCCTCTGCCCAGCTGTGGCAGGGGAGGGCGAGTGAGTGGGAAATGTGGCCTGGTGCTTGGCCAGTGTCAAACCACCACACCAGGAAACCTTCCTAGCTGCCACTGAAAATCCAAAATAGAGACCACCCCTAAAGAACTTACCAATGCAAAAACCAGTATGAGCACACGATGAGCAACTCATAGTAAATCTACTGTCTAAGTGGGAAACTGGGACACCCACAGCTGCCTGTAGAGCTTTTTGATTTTGAAAAGTGCCTCAATGTATCTTTATTTTGAAAAATCTGGCCCTAAGTGGTTTACCATATCAAAGGGAATTTGTTGGCAAACTTGGAACCAATTCAAGCAGTTCAAGCCTGGGCCAGCATCTTCATAAATCTGTGTGTGTCCTTTACAACTGACCATAACAAATCAAACCGCATAAAGACATTGCATTCAACACAGTCAGAGTTAATATTTCCAGGATTCTCAGCTTCATTATAACTGTGGTATTTCCACCTAAATTCTGCTCTCCTATCTACTTTTAGGAACATATTATGGTTACCACAGCTACCTAAGCACCAAGCAGTATGTTTTTAACAGTTACCCCCAGTGTTTGTTACTAGCTCCTGCTGTGACTTCCACAAATTTAGATTGCAAACACTTGACAACTACAGTTCTATTTTCTGTAAAACGTAATGTGTGCTTTGGGTCACAATGTAAATAGCTATACAGGGAAAATAGTTTAAAGCAACATTAAGATTGCAAAGTTAGACATTCGTGGCTTAGAGAATGCCAGAATTAGGGGAGCATGTATTTATTTTTGTCCTTTATGCCCCTGCATCCAGACAGAAATTTTAAAGTTCAGAGTTTCCCTTCGCACATGACTCTTGCTTAATCTAGAAGGCTCACAGCATTTCTCAAGTAACATAAATCCATACTTTCAGCAAACCTAAGCCCCTAAAATAGCAGCTGCTATTAGTTCTATTTTCTCTTCATACACTTCCCCCAATTTCATTTCCACAGCTGTTCATTACATATTTATTAGCATCAACTTTTATATAAGTTTTCCTCTCTCCAAGGTAAATATCTCAATGCATTTCCCATCATCTGTGTGTGTGTATATATATATATATATATATATATATATATATATATATATATATATATATATATATATATATATATATATATATATATAAAAAACATTTTCCATTGAGGGGCAAATACTGTTAAAGCACCCACCTCCAGCTCTTCAGAAGCAATTCTGTTCCTTTTGGTGATGGATAACAAATTACTCAGTGTGGGTAAGAGTAGCTGCTAAAAGCAACACTCTCTTCTCTACACCCTGACCAAACTCTGCACAGTACTTTACTCCTGAACTGTTCAGAAGAAGAAGATGCCCTTCAGGAGCTGCATGAGCATCTTTGTTGAAATGGACTCTTACGTGATTTCTTCATGTAGAAGTGTGGCTAATTTTTATTTTCATTTGAGTTATTCTCAGCTGCCTCAAATAAGTTCAGATTTTTCATTCCTACAACATTGGATGCACATGAATGATTTAATTAACTTCAAACTGCTGTACGAATATCTTCTTGCTTGTGACTTGTTTGTAAGTTAAGCATCTCTTCTACTGTTTAGGGAAGAATGCAATGCACATTTCACATGCAGCAACACAATTATGTTCTTCAAAAATGACGTTTAATTGCATTTGTCCCCTTTCCTCCAGAAACACTTGGCTCTCAGTGACACACACTCTGCTGAAAGATTGGATTCTTTAATTAGCACATGTGTTGGCCCTCTTTCTCTCTACCTCACCCCCCTCCCCATGTCTATGTTAAGGGAAATAAAAATATATGTCCCCATATAACTACAATCTGCTATTTTCCCTTTCAGTGATGCTTAAAATAAGAAAAGAAAATGTTTTTCTCTTCTCTGTATCAGTGTTCTGAGTTGACATAAGCA